ACTATTCATAAAAACCTTGATTTTTTATAAACGGTTGAGGGGTAGTTTCGTACTTTTTCTCTTGGTTCACATTCCAAAGTTTCCTAATCCCCTTGAAACCTTGCATACTTACCCTTAATATCATGAATGAGTCTAGTATAATTTTCTATAGTATTTTGAGCCTTCTAAGAGAATCTTGGAAAACATCTTAGAATTTTCATAAGGGTCTTTTGGTCATTTACCATCTTGAAAAACATCTTTGAAAAACATCTTAGAATTGAATTTTCTTAATGATAAATTGTTGACACTAGCCTAACCTAATCAGGTAGGTGGTCTTACTATCGGCATGGTTATATTTGATGTTGACATGTGCCCCATGGTTATGGACGTGTCATATATATAGATGTGTGAATTTTTTATGGATCAATATGCTTATGAAATGATATGTATATCTTATAATATGTCAATGTTTAGAAGTAGTAAGACTATATGTAGTGAATGATATATAGTAAATGGTCATATATAGTAAACAACTATGTATAGTAAATGACTATCTATAATAAAGATATATACTATGCATTCACTATATTATCTATTACTTTATATATTTGAAAATCATCCATATAAACTTCTAGCCAATGTTCTTTCTACATTTTCTCTCTCGTATTCTTTGTATTTATCTAGATCAAGTGTAAGTTGTTGTACGGTCCTAACAACACTGTCTAACCATTTTTCTATAGAGACACGAGTCTTTAAATCTTTGAACTTTCAAGAATTATGATTGAATTCTCACCTTCCGTTTCTCTCCAAGACCAAAAATATTTCTTAACATTGAAGTTAAGGTTGAACTCTTTAGCCACTCAATTTGGAGGGGTCGCTCAATTGTAAACACCCATTTGTTAGTAATAGCTCAGTTGGTTTGAACCCCACTAGAACCACCCATCCTTGAATATGGATTTTCAATTTATAAAATTTCCCCAATTCCTCGCACCTTAAAACTTTCTAGTTACCATCACTACCACCTTTTATAGGTGTTTGTCGACTAAGGATATTCTTCTATTTGGTTAGGTAGAAAACGTTTGTATCTAAGTTACATTCAAGTAAGAAATTATTTCAAAACGAGAAGTGTATCTTGCTAACAACAAAACTTTTGGAGATTGGAGATTGAAAGAAAAAGAGACGTCAGATTGAAAGAAAAAGGGATGTCAGCATACAGATTGAAAGAAAGAGAACAAAACTTTGGAGATTGAAAGAAAGAGGGATGTCAACATACAAATTCTAACAGAAAATCAATATACCAACTCTAGCCGAAAATCAATCGACACTCGAATATATTCAGTCTCAAAAACTTGATCTCTATTGGTAGGTTGGATAACATAGTTATGCAACAGAAATTGAAAATTGCTCGTGGAAGAGTGAGAAGATGAACAGAACATTGTATGAGCTAGTAAGAAACATGAGGATTCATTCTAGGCTATCAACACTATTTTGGGTTGATGCTGTGAATAAAACAACAACCTATTTGACGAATAGAGAACCTGAATTAAAAACTAAAAGTAAATAGAGGTAGAAGAAGAAATTTTTTTTATGGAATAGAATTAAATGATAAAACAAAACTAGAACAATCAGTGGAATGGAATTAAATGATAAAAAAAAGAAAAAAGAAAAATGGCAAGAAAGTACCGGACAATGTAACATATATCAATTCTTTTTAACAATAACTTTCATACATCAGTGATGAAATTTTAATAAAAATATAATTATATAACATATATAAAATATTTAAAAACTTTATCCATAAAAGACTTTAATGTTCGCATAAAATCTAACACATGAACCATGGTAAATCAAAGGAATAATTATGTAGAAATTCGAATTTGAAATTGATATCATGCGCTCAAATAGGTTGACTTGGATTTTAAAGGAAAAAATCGAAATTTAAATTAGTGACAATAGCTTAAACTAATTGGACAAGTAGCCTTACTATAGGATAGACTAGAAATTGTATGACTTACAATTTATGATGTATGAGTTGTGATGATGTATGAGTTGTATCGTATGATGTTTTATACTAGTATATGATGATGTATGAGTTATGATGCTTGATGATGTGCGTAATATATATAGTTCGATGTATGATGTACTTGATATGCCTAATGCACTTTATGGCAATATTATGAGTACGATGATTACATGACGTTTGTATTAATATGTTGATGTTTCAATATTAAGTATACTATATGATGATGAGTGTCATATTCAATCAAGTCGATAGACCGACATAGGACGCAACCCTAAGAGCATGGAAATGATATTAATATAAATAACCAACGAGCATGTGTTACTTAATGTAACAAAGAGATGAGATAGAGATAGGTTCCAAGTATGATTGCATGTCTTTGCATTAGTATGACCCCTATAGTGGTGTCACTCACTGAGTATTCTTCGAAATACTTAGGTTGTGCGCCATATCATTTTTCAGGTAAAGATAAGACGCCCATGTACGGATGACGGCAGCATTGCAAGTAGAGACTGTGCACATGCATAGGGTAGACTTATATTTAAATTCCTAGTCTTAGGTTAGGATAGGTTTTTTTTTTTTTTTTTTTTTGCATCTCATTGTTTTAAATTATTTTGTATTGTTTTTATTTTCCTTCAATTTTTAGGTATTTCGTATTAAACACACAAGACCATGACTGTGATTTTAAGAGATAGAAGATGTTTTAAATGTTTTCGACATTTATACTAGAGATAGGTTTTCTTTTGAGAGTTATATTTCACATTTTAGTAGAGCATGAGACGTTAGTAACGACTCTAAGTAAGTAGAAATTTTGCGTTGTTACAGTTGGTATCAAAGGTCTAGATTTTAGATTTTATAGACTAGCATACGATGTAGGCTTGGCACGTTCAATAGTCCCAATGTCGATGCCCCATCATCGTCAGGTACACCTTGTATAAGATAAGAAAAGAGAAATGTTTTCGAACTCCCATGCATTTTCCTATTGATATTACTTAAATTGTTGTGATATTTCGTGTATGTACTATAGAGTATGATGTGATTTGTTGCATGCTAAGGGATTTTGTTTGCCATATAATGTGACTTTAGTATATATATTTTAAATAATATATATCCATAGTGATGAGCCTTAGACTTAAGAAACTCTATCTTAAGTTCTAGAACCATGCCGCAAGACCACACGGAGAGTAAGACGAGGAAAGTGACTACCACTACTAGAGGAAGAGGACGAGGTGAGGCTGAAGAGGGCCCGCCTCAAGATTAGAGACAGGGTTCGAATTAGAACGCTAGTAACTAAGGATAGATTAAAGAATGGGCAAGCAATAGTAGTTGACCAAACTTTAGCCATAGAGTTAATAATAGTAAAGATGACTGATTTCAACTTAATACTAGGCATGAATTGGCTAGCTAAAAATCCTGCTAGTATAGACTGTTGCAAAAAGAAAGTAGTATTCTCACCATTGGCGAGATCTAACTTCCAATTTAAAGACACAAGTACCTGGACTACTCCGAAAGTAGTTAAGATGATGAAAGCAAAGAGATTAGTCCAATAAGGAAGTTGGGCTATTGTAACGCCCCTAATTTTCTTTAACCTAATTAGCGACGTTACCTTGTACTCGTGTGACAAAAGTACGAAAATTTATGTAAGACAGCCTCAATAGCGACAATACGTTCATTATTATAAGTAGTTCATACCTGGGGGAAAATAATAATGACAACCTCACTAAGAAATAACCAACAGATAACTATAAGAAATAACTGCAATAACTATCATCCGAGGGAATCCGAACAAAACGCCTACGACACTACAAGCCTTCCCTAAGAATTCCATGGCCTTCGCAGCGTTCATCGTCAACCGTACATGGGGGCCTTTCCCTTACCTGAAAATATGGGTAGCACGTGGCTTGAGTATTATATAAAATACCCAATAAGTCGCCCCATTGTTGGGGTTAAGTATATAACATACATTAGGATACATGCGGTCGCATCCAATACACATACGTAAGCACGAGTACCAAAAGAAAGAAATACGTGAGGGGGACCTGTCTTCTATTCCTTCCCATGACCTTAGGTCCCTAACTTGTCCGGGCAGGGTGGATGCGTCGTACTTTCCCACGCATGGCCGACGTGCGTGACTGTGGGCCCACCAGGTGAGTTTGCATGCGAACTCCCTGGGCCTGTTTTGGTCGGGTACATATGGCATACAATATTGGACGTCACGGAAAAATGAGGGCCTGCATGATATCATAGATAGCATAATATCAAACGTACGCGTCCGTACCGTCACCAGCATAACGGGGAAATAACCTCATGTACATAACACATAGCATGCATGAGGTCCTTAAGGCTTACCTCCATGGCATTATACATACATGTTCCATCCCCTCACCGCATTACATAGCATAACTGGGTTAAACATCGAGTAAGCATATCGTAGCGTACTAGTCATCACATTCATGGCATACAAAGTTCTCATTACAATCGTGACATGTCAATCAAGCTCATGCATACAGGGTAGCAAATCATGGCACAAACATCACATACATAAACATGGCATACATCAACGTTTCACTACAAGAAAGATATAACCTAGCATACGTTAACAACACAATGGTGCATGCAAGGGCCACATGGCACGCACCATCATACATACATAACTAACACCAACAATAAGGTTACTTACTTCCTTGGCTTTGACCGAAGTCACTCGCAATGCTAACTCCGGTGCCTAACTACCTCCTATAAGATCACATGATACACTTAGAGCCATCTCACAACTAGCTCTTATGCCTAGCTACCAAGGTACGTCCCTATCACCAACTGTTATATAAATATGGAGTTATATTGACGTCAGATGGTTGAAACAAGGGTGGAAATGGCTGTAGAAAGGTTGGAAACCTAGAAATTGGTATATTATTTATATGTCGAGACTCTAAGCCGAGCTGCGAGCCTAGAGTGCAACGGAGCCGCCGATGAAGCCAAAGCGGATGGGCTGTGAAGATCACTGACGGTGCAGGGTTTCTGGATGCGTCGCTGGTTTGGGCCAAAATGGAACGAGGCCCAATGGTGGTGTCCGAGCACGGCCTACGAGGTACAGGCTATACGTTGGCCGAGACGAACTCGCGGAATACCCGAAGGATCGACTCGCGCCCGCCGCTTCGTCTTCCTCGCCTTAAAGCCTCGACAAACCCTAATTGCAAGACTTGACTATTGTCGTCGGTGGAATCGTTGTCGTTCGTTCATCTCTGATTGTACGTTTGTCCTTCCTTGCTCCAACGTACCCTGGCGTTGGTCCGCTCCTACCTAAGGCTCACGACGTTATCAATCTCCCACCTCGATCTAACTGCCTCTCGCTCACGGTAAATCCCGAGGTTTTAATGTGAGGGGTGTGGGGAAAATCCTGAGATTTTCGGCGCATTTTTTTTTTGTAATGCGTATCGTTACATCACACCCCCCTGCGAAGGACTTTCGTCCTCGAAAGGGTTTGCATCCACGAACAACTTTGGGTACTTCTCCCTCATCTCATCCTCTCGTTTCCAGGTGGCCTCCTCGGATGATTGGTTCCCCCACCACACCTTGACAAATGCAATTTCACTGATAGGTCTTTATCTTGCGAGCTAGGATCCCCACCGGTTTCTCCTCGTAGCTTGAGTCTTCGGTCACGTCTAGGGTTGAATAATCTATCACATGCGTGCGGTTCACTAGGTACTTGTAAAGTGTCGATACATGGAACACGTTGTGTATGGATGAGAGGGACGGGGGTAGGGCTAACCTATACGCAACGAGTCCAATTCGCTCCAAAATTTTGAAGGGTCCTATGAAGCGCGGACTCAGTTTACCCTTACGTTCGAACATTAGAACGCCATTCATTTGGGCCACTTTCAGGAATACCATGTCGCCCACTTCGAACTTCAGGTCTCTTCGTCTCGAGTCTGCGTAACTCTTCTGTCTACTCTGAGTAGTGCGCATCCTCCCCCTGATCTGCTACATCGCCTTGTTCGTGACTTGGACTAGCTCCGAACCCACCAGTTCCTGTTCTCTTACCTCGCCCCAACATAATGGTGTCCTACACTGCCTTCCTACAATGCCTCTTACGGTGCCATACCGATTGTCGTCTGGTAGGTATTATAAGCGAATTCCATAAGATGCAACTTCGAGTCCCAACTCCCAGTGAAATCAAGTACACAAGCCCGCAACATATCCTCTAGAATTTAGTTCAAGAGTTCCATCTGTCCATCGGTCTGTGGGTGAAATGCCGTGCTAAAGTCCAGTCGAGTGCCCAACGCTTTCTGGAGTCCACGCAAAAATGTTGAAGTAAAACATGGGTCTCAGTCTGATACAATCGATACAGGGACCCCATGTAATCTGATGATTTCCTTCATGTACAGTTGTGCCCAATTGTCCACTTTATAGGTGGCCTTGCTAGAGAGGAAATGTGCTGACTTTGTCAATCTGTCCACGACCACCCATATGACCGTGTAACCCTTCAGCGTCTTAGGTAGGCCCACTATGAAATCAATGGCGATGTTCTCCCACTCCCATTCTGGTATATTGAGGGGCTGTAGTAATCCTACTGATCTCTGTCTGGGTGCTTTAACTTGTTGGCAAACCAAGCATCTGACGAACTCCGCGATAACCTTCTTCATGCCACACCACCAGAAGTGGGGTCTGAGGTCCTAATACATCTTCGAACCGCCAGGGTGCATGACGAATGGGGAGTTATGCGCCTCTTTCAGTATCTCACCCCTCAATTCCTCTATCGCCGGTACACAAAAGCAACCTTAGTATAGCAACCCATCATCCGCTGACTTGGAGTATCCACCGGCTGGTTCTGTCTCTATTTCGTTAAGTACCCTCGCTAAACCTAAGTCCTTTGCCTACGCCTCAACGATTCTCTGCCGAAGGGTGGGTTGTACAGTTAGCCGAGCCAGCTGTGCCTTAATACCTTCCAGAGCTACTGCTATTTTTGTTCGCTCAAAATCTACCTGCACTCTGGGTTCTTTCGTGATCAGTGCAGACGAATGCGCTGTCTTCCTACTTAGGGCATCTGTTGTTAGACAAACTCAAACAAGAAAGAGACAACACTTAGAAAAAATAAGCAAAACCAACTTTATGTAGAAGAAAAAATAAACTAAATAACTGTTAATAACCTACACTAACTTCCTAGTAACAACTAACTTCCCTTGCTATTATCCACAAATACTAAAATTCTAATAGAAGATTAAATAAACTAACAAATCATCCCCTTAATCTTGTATTTCGATCTTCACATTCTTATATTCTTCAAACTAATTCTTTCTCGAACATCCTAACCATATTTCTTGACAAGCAGTTGATGTCGCCACAATATACTCCGCTTCACAGGATGAAAGTGCCGCTATCTTTTGTTTCTTTGAAGTCCATGTAATTGGATTCCCATGCAATGGTTTCTTTCTACTTGCTTTGCCTTCACATAATGACATCCAATATCAATAATTTCTTTCACCAGTTTGATTACTTGTTCAACACTGCCGCTGTCGCCATTATCGTCGCCTTCCTTCTTCCCTGTCTTCGTTTCAATGGGCAACTGCTTTTCATCGACAGTTTTAATTACCTGTTCTATGTATCCGGCCAACGACTTTTCCTCAATTGGTTTAATTACCTGTGCTACTTCAATTGCATTGCCGGAAACAATGGCCTCCTTCTCCTTCTCCATCTCCTTCTCTATTTTTGTTTCTCCGGAGACCTGTTTTTCAATAGCACCGCCATTATTTCCGTCCTCCTTCTCCTTCTTCTCGCCGTCACAGTCCTCTTTTATCTCCTTTGCTTTTGCTACCTCTGTTTCCACATTCTGAACCTCCGCCACAACGCCATCGCTCTTCTTCTCAGATTCAAACTTCACAGCGCTAACGATTTTCTCGCCATCGCTCTTCTTCTCTTCTCGCTTCTCTGTTTTTTCTCCGATTCAATCTTCACACCTCCACGTCCTTTTATCTCTACAAGTGATCCATCTCCGAACTTCACCGTGTCGGTCATTGACTCATTCAATTCTGAGAACCAACTTCGATAACCAGTCATATGATTGCTCGCTCCCGTATCTAGGAACCAAGTGTTGCTTTTCTTCTCAATTTCTTCTGGGACAACCTTCTCTTCATAAGGAGCCATCTCCGTCAACTCTGGTGAACCGAGAGCTCGGACTTCACAAACTTGTGCTGTAAGTAAGGCTGGCTCATCCTCATCACTTTGCGTCTCAGCCAAGTGTGCCTGATCCTCCCATTTCTTCGATCTACAGTCGGATGCATAATGGCCAATCTTTTGACAATTATAACACTTCATTTTCTGACATTCCGAGGCATAGTGGCCTAGGCCTTGACAATTGTAGCATCTTACCTCGCTCTTGTTAGCCTTCTTCTCTTGATGAAACGGGTCGTTTCCACGTCCATGACCTCTCCCCTCCAGCGACCACTGCGACCTCGCCCTCGGCTATGGCCTCCATTGTCGCTACGTTCTTTTGCTCTCCATTCTCCTTGAGTCAATAAGACATGCTCAGTATTCTCTTTGTTACCACTGATCCGTTCCTCGTATGCTTTAAGACGACCGATGACTTCCTCCATGGTCATCACCTTTAAATCGACAAATTGCTCTATTGCCAATACGATATGAAGAAACTTAGGAGGTACTTAGCGGAGAAATTTTTTTCACCAAGTATGCCTCTTCAAACTTGTTTCCAAAAGTACGTATTTTATTAACAACTTCTGTCAACCTTGCTGCATCATCATCAATAGTCTCGAACTTCTTCATATTCATAATTTCAAACTCAATCTTTAGAGTTTGGATCTTTGCCTCCTATATAAGTTCAACATCGAACATGAATAGTTTTTAACGTCTGCCATGCTTCTTTTGCTGTCTCTTTCTCTGTTAGCAAAAACAACACCTTCTCAGGGATTGCTTGATAGATAGCTGCTAAGGCCATTTGATCTTTTCTTTCATCAAGAAGATCCAGAGACTCAGTTGATTCGATTGCGTCCCACACCCCTTGAGCACGCAAATAGACCTTCATCTTCATAGCCCATGCTGAGTAGTTGGTTCTCGATAACGTCGGGTATTGGAGTGATACCAGACCTTCCTTTGTTGCAGACTTCGACGACATGATCTTTGGCATGTAACCTGGCTCTGATACCAAATGTTAGACACACTCAAACAAGAAAGAGACAACACTTGGAAAAAATAAACAAAACCAACTTCATTGTCTTCAATTTGCTGCACTGTACATATGTAGAAGAAAAAAAAAACTAAATAACTGTTAATAATCTACACTAACTTCCCAGTAACAACTAACTTCCCTTGCTATTATCCACAAATTCTAAAATTCTAATACAAGATTAAATAAACTAACATTTGTAACCACGTTGGCCTTCTCGAGGTGGTACTGGATATCTATGTCATAGTCCTTAACTAGTTCTAGCCACCGTTGTTGTCTCATATTCAACTCCTTCTGGGTGAAGAAGTACTTCAGGCTCTTATGGTCGGTATAGATCTGAGTCCTCTTCCCATACAGGTAGTGTCGCCATATCTTTAGCGCAAAGACTACTGCTGCTAGTTCCAAGTCATGCACAGGGTAGTTCTTTTCATAGTCCTTCAGCTGTCTGGATGCGTAGGCAATAACTTTCCCGTGTTGCATGAACACGCATTTGAGGCCCTTCTTGGAAGCATCACTAAAATGACGTAGTTCCCTGTACCATCAGGCATCGTGAGCACGGGTGCGGTTGCCAGTCTCTCCTTCAGGTCTCTGAAGCTTGCCTCGCACTCCTCGGTCCATACGAATGTCGTAGCCTTTCGAGTCAGTCGTGAGAGGGGTGTCGTTATCTTAGAAAAGTCCTGCACGAAGCATCTGTTGTAGCCTGCCAGACCCAGAAAACTTCGTATCTCAGTCACAGTAGTTGAACGGGCCCAGCTGGTGACTGCTTCCACCTTGGCAGGGTCAACTGATACTCCTTCCGCCGATATCACATGTCCTAGGAACGAGACTTCGCGTAACCAAAACTCACACTTCGAGAACTTGACATACAATCTACTTTCCCTCAAGACCGTCAAGGCCTTCCTCAAGTGCATTTGGTGTTCCTGATCCGTCCTTGAATACACCAGGATGTCATCTATGAATACAATGATAAAGGTATCCAGATATTCCTTGAACACCCGGTTCATCAGTTCCATGAACACTACAAGGGCATTAGTGAGTCCAAATGACATTACCACAAACTTAGGATGGTCGTACCTCGTTTTGAAAGATGTTTTCGGCACGTCCTCATTTTTTATCTTGATCTGGTGGTAACCTGAACAAAGGTCAATTTTTGAAAACAATGTGGCCTCTCTTAGCTGATCAAACAATTCCTCGATGTGTGGAAGGGGATACCTATTCTTCACCGTCCTCTTATTCAGTTCCCTGTAATCGATACACAAGCACATGGAACTGGCCTTTTTCTTGATGAATATCACTAGTGCACCCCAAGGCGACACACTCGGTCTGATAAACCCCTTATCTAGCATCTCTTGTAGTTGCATCTAGAGTTCTTTCAACTCTGCTAGTGCCATGTGGTATGGGGCCTTGGATATGGGCAAGTCGACATCTCAGGATGGGGGGATCCCTGGCAAGTCCTCTAGGAACACATCTAGGAACTCATTCACAACAGGTAACGCGGTTAAGGAGCACATTTTTCCTTGATCCTTGCTATGCTGGCTAGTATCGCCCAGGCCCCGTGCTGGACAAGCTTCTTTGCCTTCATCATCGATATCACCTTGGGCATTGTACCTAGACTGGTGCCATTGAATCTGAACCTGTTCCTAAACGGTGACGTGAAAATAACCTTCTTCTTGTGACAATCTATGCTAGCATGGTTTTCCGCTAACCAGTCCATGCCTAGGATTACATCATACACAGTCATATCGACCAACATTAAGTTTACACCCAAGCTAAACCTTGATACTACTACGTGACCATTCCTTACCCTATAGGCAGCGACCATATCCACCCCTATCGGGGTGGCTACTAGAAAATCATGTAACAAGGGTTCTAATACGATCTTTGCTTGACTAACAAAATCAGTGGAAATAAAGGAGTGCGTAGACCCCAAATCAAATAACGTCAAAGAAAAATGGCCAAGGACGGATAATGTACCTGTCACCGTCGCATCTGGGTTTTCAACGTCCCTGCTGGTGGAGGCATAGGCCCTCGCTAGAGGGCGGTTCTGAGTGGGGGCATCTACTGTGCGTAGTGGTCTTTGGTGACCCCCGACGTTATTGGTGCGACCTCTCTAGTAGTCTCTGGCTAAGTGACCCTCCTTCTCGCATCAGAAGCAGGCTCTAGAGTGAGCCAGGCACCGCCCCCAATGGTTCTTCCAACACTTGTTACACTTGGGTCTGTCTTTGCCCTGCCCTCTCTCCCCTGCTGGCCCCGCCTGGAATCGCAGAGCCGTCTGTCTGGTCGTCTCGGTGGCGGCGATGGGGATGAATCGCGGTGGTCATCCCAATCATGGCATCGTCTCTATCTCTCAGTTGATGAACGGGATTTACGGCGATCATCTTGGTAACTGAGTCGTTTCCATCTCTGGGTCGATGAGCGGTATTTGCTCTATCCATCGGTCCCCTCCATGGCCTATGCTACTCTCAGCACGTCAGCATAAGTTGTAGGTGCTATCGCTTCAACCACGTTATGGATCTTTCGGTCCAACCCTAGCACAAACCGGCGGGCCGTCCAGTAGTGAGTGTCTACCAAATCTGGGGCGAAGCACTTCAACTTGGTGAACTCTCTAGCATAGGCAGTAACCGAACGCCCTCTCTGTTTAAGGTGAGTGAATTCCTGATGTTTGAGTAATATGCCTTTACAAAGGCCTCCTTAAATTTTGTCCATGAGATTTCGTCCCCCGAATCTAATAAGCTCCTGGGTGGAGCGCCACCATACCTGAGCATCGACATGTAGCATGAATACTGCGTATTCAACCTTTTGGTCTTTGGGATAGTTTGTTAGCCTGAATACAGTCTCTATGGAACTCAGCCACAATTGTGCCTCTATCAGGTCATCGGAAGCTCCCTTGAAGGTTTGTGGGTCGCCCTTCTTAAAATCCCGCAAACATCTGGCTTCCCTATTGGAGGTAGAGTCGTTAGCTGACTGGTCACCGGACAGGCTTCGTACTACGATCCGCAATACGTCTACCAATTCTACCGCCGAGTCTCGGGTGGGCTGGGGTATTGCTGGCAGCGGGAATGTTATCACTACGTTGGGCCCTTCCACGGATATCTCACAGCTGGGGCCTCATCCCCTTCCGCTCCTACCCCTAAGTGGGGGTCGCCCCCTAGTACTCTCTCCTCGCGTCCTGGGTGGCATATCTAAACCTAACAATAGCTATGGGGTTACATACTAATCTATCCACTTCTATAAACAATTACAAGGGCATAAGTCGCATACACACACAATGGCATTAGCCACATACACACACAAGCATATATCTATCACATCATAGAACATACTAACATCGGGACAAGAGAGCGTACAACCGTACTTCTTCCTTACAATAGATACATATACCTGACGGTGATGGTGTGGTTGCTGGAGGACCATGGAAGTGCCTTAGGCCTACATTGTAGACCACTAAAGGATATGTGACCTAGAGCTCTGATACCAACTGTAACGCCCTTAATTTTCTCTAACCTAATTAGCGACGTTACCTTGTACTCGTGTGACAAAAGTACAAAAATTTATGTAAGACAGCCTCAATAGCGACAATACGTTCATTATTATAAGTAGTTCATACCTGGGGGAAAATAATAATGACAACCTCACTAAGAAATAACCAACAGATAACTATAAGAAATAACTGCAATAACTATCATCCGAGGGAATCCGAACAAAACGCCTACGACACTACAAGCCTTCCCTAAGAATTCCATGGTCTTCGCAGCGTTCATCGTCAACCGTACATGGGGGCCTTTCCCTTACCTGAAAATATGGGTAGCACGTGGCTTGAGTATTATATAAAATACCCAATAAGTCGCCCCATTGTTGGGGTTAAGTATATAACATACATTAGGATACATGCGGTCGCATCCAATACACATACGTAAGCACGAGTACCAAAAGAAAGAAATACATGAGGGGGACCTGTCTTTTATTCCTTCCCTTGACCTTAGGCCCCTTACTTGTCCGAGTAGGGTGGATGCGTGGTACTTTCCTACGCATGGCCCACGTGCGTGACTGTGGGCCCACTAGGCGAGTTCGCATGCAAACTCCCTAGGCCAGGCTTGGTCGGGTATGTATGACATACAATACCAGATGTCACGAAAAAAGGAGGGCCTGCATGATATCATAGCGAGCATAATATCGAACGTACGCGTCCGTACCGTCACCAGCATAACGGGGAAATAACCCCATTTACATAACACATAGCATGCATGAGGTCCTTAAGGCTTACCTCCATGGCATTATACATACATGTTCCATCCGCTCACCGCATTACAGAGCATAACTGAGTTAAACATCGAGTAAGCATATCGTAGCATATTAGTCATCACATTCATGGCATGCAAAGTTCTCATTAAAATCGTGACATGTCAATCAATCTCATGCATACAGGGTAGCAAATCATGGCACAAACATCACATACATAAACATGGCATACATCAACGTTTCACTACAAGAAAGATATAACCTAGCATACATTAACAACACAATGGTGCATGCAAGGGCCACATGGCACGCACCATCATACATACATAACTATCACCAACAATAAGGTTACTTACTTCCTTGGCTTTAACCGAAGTCACTCGCAACGCTAACTCCGGTGCCTAACTACCTCCTATAAGATCACATGATACACTTAGAGCCATCTCACAACTAGCTCTTATGCCTAGCTACCAAGGTACGTCCCTATCACAAACTGTTTTTATCAAAATGGAGTTATACTGACCTCAAGTGGTTGAAACAAGGGTGGGAATGGCTCTAGAAGGGTCGGAAACCTCGAAATTGGTATATTATTCGTATGTCAAGCCCCTAAGCCGAGCCACCGAGCCTAGAGTGCAACTAAACCGCTGATGAAGCCAAAGCCGATGGGCTGCGAAGATCACTAATGTCGCAGGATTTCTGGATGCGTCTAGATGCATCGCATGAGGCCCAATGGTGGTGTCCGAGCGTGACCTGCGAGGTGTGGGCTGTATGCTGGTCGAGACGAACTCGCGGAATACCCGTAGGATCGACCCGCGCCTGCCACTTCGTCTTCCTCGCCCGAAAGCCTTGACAAACCCTAATCGCAGGACTTGACTACTATCGCCGGTGGAATCATCGTCGTTCATCTGTCTCTGATGGTGCGTTTGTACTTCCTTGCCTCAACGTACCTTGGCGTTGGTCTGCTCCTACCTAAGGCTCGCGACATTATCGATCTCCCACCTCGATCTGACTGCCTCTCACTCACGGTACAACAACAGCTACAGAAAGGCGGCCGTTAGACCCTAGGGTTTAATGTGGGGGTCTGGGGAAAATCCCGCCGAAAATCGCGAGATTTTTGGTGCATTTTTTTTTTGAATGCATATCGTTACATCTATATTAGCATGTGTCGCGGATGTAAGAGGAAAAAAAAAAGACCCTAGACAACATACCAGTATTAAATGAGTTCCCGAGCGTATTTTCGAAAAACCTACCAAGAATACCCCGTCCGCAAAGCCCTTATAGCATGACATCAATAGGATTAAAGGAACTTGAGACGTAATTACAAGGTATATTGGGTAAGGGCTTTATCCATCTTTAAGTCCCTCGTTGAATTGCCAACATTATTGGTCAAGTAGAAAGATGACTCGATGCGTTTAGACATCGATCGTAGGTAACAAAATATAAGGACCCTAGCTTAAAATAAATTTTTGAGACAAATTAACGGAAATTTTGATAGCATATAGACAAGTACTACCTGACATACCTCATCCATGTAAATGAACTATGAACCTTGTCAAATTAACATGGAATTAAGTTACGAAGGGAAGCCTAGGAAAATCTTAATCCGCGAGTTGAAAGCCTTTGCAAGAAATAGATTTCCTTCGTAAAAATACTGAGACGAAACCAGTATATGAAAGAGATCACATTGGAACAAGAGATAAGATAAGAGAAAAGTACCCGGATGTAGGATACGAGTTTTACACTTTCGAGGACGAAAGTTCCTTTTAGGGGTATATGATGTAAGGAGTTGGAAAAAAATTACTAAGATCGCTATGAAATGTAAAAAATTGATTCAGCATTTATCTAATTGGTGAAAGGAAGCAAGTCTTTAGAAGAAAGTGAGAAAGTTGAAATTAAGGTTGAGTTAGTATCTAAAGTTTTCCAACCTCATTGTCGACATGAATATTGATTTGAATGAAGCGCCTAAGCCACAAACCTACTAAATAAATTGTGTTGCTCTTGAAATTTTAGGAGAAGGCTCAATATGATGTTAATGTTATGTATGAAATTTTGTGACCTTTAGGTTATGATAATGGGCTAAATCAAGCGTAGGTGTAAAATGACTAAAATGCCCCTATGATTATGTAACACTAGCTTATGACCAAAGTGACCTCTAAATGGCATACAATTTGATGGGAAGCCTTATGTCATGGTGTAAAGGTATTACAAAAAGTTACAATGCTATTGGAATATGTTGAAGAAGTAAACCATGATTTAGGGTGGTAAATGACCAAAATACCCTTAAAAAACAAAAAAAGATTACCATGAAAAAAAAAACATTTCCCCACACTTCTCTCCACTAATCTCTCATCCATTCCTCCATTATCAAATAAACATAAAAAACAAAAAGCAAAGTCATTGTCAAGGTATATATTAATTTTTTTTTTATAATTAATTTTGTTTATAAGAAATCACACCCAAATTATAGCTTAGATTTTTCCTAGATCTTCTCTAATTATGTTGCAATTATTCTTTCCTAATTGGGTTGTAGAAGTTAGAAATTATCATTTCCAAGCTATTGAATCAATTAGAAGTTAGAAATTATTAGATTGAAGCCAAAGAATCAATGAAGAGTTAGAAATTATATGAATCCAAAGAATGAATTAAAAATGGACCAATCAAAAGAGAAAAAATATATATATAGATAAAAAGATAGGAAAATTTGGAAAACTCAATCAAAAGAGACAAGAAAATACAGAGATGAGAGAGAGGAAGATTTGGAAGCAACAATTATTTAACAAAAATAGGCCAAGAAAATCTGGGAATATAATTAATTAAAAGGAAAAAAAAAACAAATACTGAGATATGAATGAGAGAGGAAGATTTGGAAGTAAGTTAGATTTAGAAGTATATTAAAAATTGTCCAATGATATATGTGAACAAAATCCAAAAGAGAGAAGAAAAAAATGAAGATTCCGCTAATAATTCAAAGCTAAGAGTAAATACATATAGAAAAGTAAATACAGAGCGAAGGAAAGAGAGATTCCGTGAATAGAATTAAATGATCGAACAAAAGAAATAACATTTTGTTTATAGGATTAAATGACAAAACAAAAAATATATAAAAGGCAAAGATTCGGAAAATAGAATTAAATGATAAAACAAAAAAAATATTAGAGGACGAAAAAATTCCATGAATAGAATTAAATGATCAAACAGTCCCGATAAAACAAAAGAAATAATAGAGGACTTGAGGGCATTGAGTGAATAGAATTAAATGATACAACAAAAGAAATGACATAGAGCATGAAAGTATAAGTATCAACTTTTTTAACCATTAACTCTCATAAAATAGTAACCATAGAAAATGGAATATTTAATAATATATAAAATATTCCTAATACTTTACTCATCCAAAAATTCTAATATTTGCATAAAATCTAACACATGGACCCTTGTAAATTAGAAGAATAATTTAGTAAAAGTTCGAATTTGAAACTAATGTCATGGGCTCACATAGGTTGACTTAGATTTCAGAGGACAAAATCGAAATTTAAATTAGTGACAACAGCTTAAGCTAATCAGGTAAGTGACATTGCTAAAGGATAGACTAAAAATTGTATGAGTTACAATTTATGATGTATGTACATAATATATATAGTTCGATGTATGTTAGGCCTACATCGTAAGCCAGTCGACAAGATCTATAACCTAGATATCTGATACCAACTGTAACGCCCCTAATTTTCTTAACGTAATTAGGGACGTCACCTTGCATACATAACTTATTAAGCAGAAGCTCATCATATACAACAAGTCTTACATAAAGGTCCAAAAATCCAAACAAACATATCTTCGAAAATAAAACCTTCAGTAATTGAATTTGGAAAAACTCTTAATAAAACAATGTTCAATGCTTTAACTTAAATAAGTCAAATAAATATAAACTACTAAAAATGCCCCTCGTCCACTTCCATGGTATTCTCAGCTCCACCGTCAACAGTACATTGGTGCCTTGCATTTACCTGAAAAATGTAGGTAGTATATAGCTTGAGTATTTTATAAAATACTCCGCAAGTCATCCCACTATTGGGGTTAGAAATGCAAACACATGCAACATATGAGCAGGATCTAACTTTTCGTAAACATTACATGGCCTTGGGCGCTTTTCTATTCTGGGTAGGGTTGGATGCATGGTACTCCTTCACACACGACCCATGTACGCGCACATAGACCCATCAGGCGGGATCGTATATGTACCCCCTAGGCTTGGCTTGGTCGGGCACAACGTATTACACGTCGTCGGACACTACAGAACAGAAAAGGCCCCGCATGATATCATGACGAACATAAATATCGTATTTCATTCTTTCGTAACATAAAGGAGAAGTATCCCGATGCAAGTGACATACATATATGCATGAGGTCCCTTAACATACCTAACATGGCATTACATAAGCATTGCTAACATCACATATACGTTTCTTACATTACATGGCATATCACATAACTTACATTACGTGGCATATTGCCTAACATGAAAATACATTCCAAATCCATAAGCATTTCATGACTCGATATACTACGTGTATCCATGGCATCGATCAACATTTTTATGGCATATAATAATAGCAGATCAACTATCTTTTCATAGCATAGATAGTCAACAGTCAACATCATCCATAGCTTTTCATAGCGGAAACAGTCAACAGTCAACATAATCCATTACTTTTCATAGCGTAAACAGTCACATAATCCATACATCATATAGTCATATCACATAAAATATGGTACATGCAAGGGCCATAGGGCACGCGCCATCATACAACACGTAGTAAGCTAACTCCAACAGTAAGGTCACTTACCTCGATGGCTTTGGCCGAAGTCACTCACAACAAGCTAATTCCAAAGATTTAATTACATCCTATAATAACCACATAAAAATTTAGGAACTTTCATAATATACCCTAGCTAAATCTCATGCAATTTATCAAAATAAACTCCCAACACAATCTGTCTATGATGGTGGGCATCCATACTGACCTCAGATTGTAAAAATAAGGGCGGAAACGGCTTTGAAAGGGACAAAAACCTAGAGATTGATATATTATGGGTATTGAGCCGCTAAGCCGAGCCGAGTGGGAGAAAGTTATGGAGGATGAGATGAGCTCACTTGCAAAGAATAATACATATGTGTTGATTGAGTTCGCTACAGAAAAGATAGCTTTGTTGAACAAATTGGCGTTCAGAATCAAGGCTGAACCAGCTGAAAAAATGAGGTTAAAGGCTTGATTAGTAGTTAAAGAATATTAAAAAAGAAAAGACATTGTTTGTGTTGAAATCTTTTCTTTTGTTGTGAAATTAACTACTATCCAAATTTTGATGAGTATAGTCGCTTTGGAAAATGGATGCAAACTTTTTTTTTTTTTTTTACATGGAGGTCTAGATGAGAAGATCTTATGCCGCAACCAAAGGATTTGCATCTCCAGGCAAAGAACACATGGTGTAGCTCAATAGGAGCTTGTATGAACTGAAACAAGCACCGAGAAAATAGTACAAAAAGTTTGACACCTTAATGTGCAAGAGTGGTTTGCACATGAGTGAAAAAGATCAGTGTTGTTACTTTAAAAATACACTGATTCTTATGTGTTTCTACTACTGTATGTGGACGATATACTAATTGTAGGATCTAGTATGATAGAGATAAACTAATTGAAGGCAAGCATGTCTTTAGTATTTAAGATGAAATATTTGAGTGCAACGAAGGAGGTTCATAGGATAGGATTTCTCAAGATAGATCTGTTGGCACATTTAATATATCCTAGGAGCAGTACATTGAGAAGATGTGGTCTAAATTCAAGATTAATGATGTTAAACTTAGGA